GGCTGAAATGCGGAATCACACCTCCAGGCATGTGTTTCGCTGGGGTTACTCCAAGACCCACCCAGCTGGGACGGGTGGGAGCTGCCAGGACGGATCCCACCACGGCAGCACTCGCCCCCCCCCAGCCCAGCAGCCCCCAGGTGCTCTGCTAGACGGGATTTAAAGTTAAACTCCTATTTGGGTGATCGGGGAGTTAAGAAATGAGAGGCAAAGAGGCATCTTCCAGAGTGGGGGCCGGCAGTTATTATTCTACCAGGCAAGACTTTGCTGGGGACGGTGATATTTTATTGCAGGTCCAGGGGAGAGCCCGAGCTTTCGGGGGCACACGCACCTACAGAAGGTACAAATCATCCCGTCTGTGTTCCAGACCAAGCGGGCGTGAGGCAGCTCCACAGCCAATTGCTCCAGGATGGGCAAAAACCCTCATCCTCGCGGCAGCTCCAGCTTCAATAAAAAGTAAAACAGTATTGAAAATCAAGGTTCAAAACTATCCAAATTTATCCAAAGTCAAGTCACTGGCCAGACCCACAAGAGGAAACCAACCCATGCGTGGTTAATAAGAGCACGTTCAAGTGACATCTGCAAACGCTGTCAGTCTCTCTGAAGCCACGCACGACCAAGAGTGAGGATTTTAGACCACCCCGAGCCATCAGCGTTTCAGGCAGAATTTCCTCTCCATTGGTGTCTACTGAGAACATTACTTCAAAATCTTTAAAGGCCCAGCACAATCATCGAAAATAAAATACAAAGCAGTCTTCAAAGGCCATCCCTCGAGGAGGGACGCATCTTGTGAACTCTTGACAGAAGTAACAAATAACCCTAGAGAGGCCGACCTTTATTTCACAGCTAAAACCCGCACCTCCAGGGATGTTAAGCTTCAGGAGCAGAGGAAAGCGAGCTGGCCGGAGCGGGGTGGGACGGCTCACGCTCCCGTACTCGGAGAATGCACAAATAATGGGCAGCGTTACGTAAAACCACGGGAGCGTTGGATCATGGTGGCAGCCGTGTTTTTATCTGGTTTGCTTCCAACTTTCTTCTCGAATGAGCATTATCTATCACGAGCAGGAAAGTATGGTTTTCCTTTTATTGTGTGCATCCAGTAACTGTTCTTCGATGCGTGGCAAAAGCAGGGCCCCAAGGGAGTTCGGGGGGTGTGGGGGGGTGTGTCTAACGCGGGGTCTCCCTGCCTTGGCAGATTAGGAAATGCCGACCTTGGGTGTACAGCCCTCCACATCCCCCTGCTGGGGCCGTCCCCTAGCCACCGCCACTGCGCCGGCAGGGCCGTGGCAGGAGCTGGGGTGCCCCGCAGACAAGCGCCCAGGATGCTGGACCCCACTTCTGACCCTCAGCTAAAACCAGGTGAAGACGGGGACGGGCGCCCAGGATGCTGGACCCCACTTCTGACCCTCAGCTAAAACCAGGTGAAGAACGGGCAGGGTGTGGCAGCACTGCCCGGCCGGGCTCTGGGGACACCGGCCTCAGCTGGCGGTGGACCGCGGCGCGGGGGCCCCCCCCCGCGCCACGCCGCAGGACACCGCGCCGCAGGACAGCACGGGCAGGAGGCGCACGGTAGCTCGGGGGGATTTTCTTCCTCCAGCAGTTACAAAAGGGGAACAGTGGGAGCAAATGCGGAATCACACCTCCAGGCATGTGTTTCGCTGGGGTTACTCCAAGACCCACCCAGCTGGGACGGGTGGGAGCTGCCAGGACGGATCCCACCACGGCAGCACTCGCCCCCCCCCAGCCCAGCAGCCCCCAGGGGCTCTGCTAGACGGGATTTAAAGTTAAACTCCTATTTGGGTGATCAGGGAGTTAAGAAATGAGAGGCAAAGAGGCATCTTCCAGAGTGGGGGCCGGCAGTTATTATTCTACCAGGCAAGACTTTGCTGGGGACGGTGATATTTTATTGCAGGTCCAGGGGAGAGCCCGAGCTTTCGGGGGCACACGCACCTACAGAAGGTACAAATCATCCCGTCTGTGTTCCAGACCAAGCGGGCGTGAGGCAGCTCCACAGCCAATTGCTCCAGGATGGGCAAAAACCCTCATCCTCGCGGCAGCTCCAGCTTCAATAAAAAGTAAAACAGTATTGAAAATCAAGGTTCAAAACTATCCAAATTTATCCAAAGTCAAGTCACTGGCCAGACCCACAAGAGGAAACCAACCCATGCGTGGTTAATAAGAGCACGTTCAAGTGACATCTGCAAACGCTGTCAGTCTCTCTGAAGCCACGCACGACCAAGAGTGAGGATTTTAGACCACCCCGAGCCATCAGCGTTTCAGGCAGAATTTCCTCTCCATTGGTGTCTACTGAGAACATTACTTCAAAATCTTTAAAGGCCCAGCACAATCATCGAAAATAAAATACAAAGCAGTCTTCAAAGGCCATCCCTCGAGGAGGGACGCATCTTGTGAACTCTTGACAGAAGTAACAAATAACCCTAGAGAGGCCGACCTTTATTTCACAGCTAAAACCCGCACCTCCAGGGATGTTAAGCTTCAGGAGCAGAGGAAAGCGAGCTGGCCGGAGCGGGGTGGGACGGCTCACGCTCCCGTACTCGGAGAATGCACAAATAATGGGCAGCGTTACGTAAAACCACGGGAGCGTTGGATCATGGTGGCAGCCGTGTTTTTATCTGGTTTGCTTCCAACTTTCTTCTCGAATGAGCATTATCTATCACGAGCAGGAAAGTATGGTTTTCCTTTTATTGTGTGCATCCAGTAACTGTTCTTCGATGCGTGGCAAAAGCAGGGCCCCAAGGGAGTTCGGGGGGTGTGGGGGGGTGTGTCTAACGCGGGGTCTCCCTGCCTTGGCAGATTAGGAAATGCCGACCTTGGGTGTACAGCCCTCCACATCCCCCTGCTGGGGCCGTCCCCTAGCCACCGCCACTGCGCCGGCAGGGCCGTGGCAGGAGCTGGGGTGCCCCGCAGACAAGCGCCCAGGATGCTGGACCCCACTTCTGACCCTCAGCTAAAACCAGGTGAAGAACGGGCAGGGTGTGGCAGGCCG